ATATATATATATATATATATATATATATATATATATATATATATATATATAGGTATATCTATCTTTCTGTGAGTTTATGCACAGTGGCGTGGATGTGGTGAAATTGTGTGTTGCAGAGGAGTTTCACTGGTACCAATAATAGGCATAACAGAATACATAAACATTAGGACATTGGTAGTAAATACATTTTGTGTTTATTTATCATCATTTTATTGTTGAAACATTCCAAGTGCTCGTGACACACTCAGGTGTAACTCTTCAGGAATAAAGGAATAAATTCTATTTGTACTATGAGGTGAAACGAACTATATAGCTAGTGGTTTGATCCACTATAGTTGGCAGGTCCAGATTTCAAGAGGATTTAAGATCATTCTGATTATTTTCTGTATGATAATGCAAAACCCGTTTAGTTCATGTACAAGAGAGGCCGCTAGTAGTCAGTGTGACTCGACCCGAGGCTGACGCGTTACAACACTGCTAGTAGCAGATTGTGGCGTGTCTCTTGATATACATGGCGACAGTGCTCTATCCGTGTAGATAATTGTGTCAATAAAGTTAACCTCAATACAAGTGCAAAAACAATCATTAGCATCATCATTATAAAGCTCAAGAACAGAAAAAATATATATATATAGATAACACTTTCCACACTACAGGCCTAACTAACTAGGGCATGGTATATATACTAGGGCCACAATTCACCTGCAATTGTTCTTGAGTCATTATATTTCATCTCTCAGTAGGGACTCTGGGCATCCTTCATGGCATAAAATGTTGAGCCTAGCTCCATTAATGGGGATGTAAAAGAAGAATTGAAGACATTCAACACAAGCAGTGATCACTCGGTGTCATTCAGCTTGGCATAACATTAGTGAAGCAGAAAGCATACTACGAGTACGAGATAACTTCACAAAAAATGCTTGTATTTAATAAATATATTATAGCTGTGATGACACTGATAGGTAGGTTCATTACATTATATTATTTGTCTTCTGTCTATAGGTTCACACTGAGATGGCATGATACCAATCACAAGTGAACACTGAAATGCAGATTAGAGGGCGCTGTGGACTCCAAACGTGATGGCCAGGTATCATTATCATCAGATGTCATGTTCCTGCATCCTACAGTTCTGAGACTGACTCAAGTTAATGTTAATCACTACTCTTAAATTTGCATCTTTGAAAAAACATTTTAAATGCAAAAGTCCACAATGTGAAGCAAGTTTGCCAATTGATTTCCATGACATAATTGGAAGTGCGCTCATATAGAAAACCTTTTGGGCAATAGAAGTAATACACAGGGTGCGAAATTAACGCGAGTCAGTAGTCAAATACTCCCTGATTTACGGTCGGACTCCCTGATTTACTGTCGGACTCCCTGATTTGACATATGCAGGAGTCCGTGTGACTCCCTGAAAATTCTGTTATACAAATTAGTAGTAGTTCCAGAGGAAGGCCTCACGGAATTACCCTATTTTTTCAGCAAATGTCCAAAGAAAATTTGGCAGAAGTGCATGGCAATAATCTTCAAAACAAGCACATGTGTTATTGCTGCTATGCTTTAGTTTTGAACGTCAGACTGCGGACTCCCTCATTTTGCTACGGACTCCCTCTTTTGAGGGTAGGGAGTCCGTTGGACTCCCTTGTTCAAAAGTTAATTTCTACCCCTGAATACATGTGCACCTATCAGTGCAAATAATCATTTTCAAACACATAATTATATGAATTATGTAATGACATAACATGGAAACATGGTAGTAATAGTCAGAGGGAAAGAGAGATCAGAGTTAGAAGTACTAGGAGAGAGAGAGAGAGAGAGAGAGTGGGACACTATTATTAGCTGACTTGATTGCCTCTGGCTTTACCCTGGAAGCTGAAATGTTACGTGTGCATTTTACATATATATTGGTTACGTTTATCATCTGTTTGTACAGCTCTCTATAGCAGCTGAGGTAGTTGAGAAGTGTTCATGATACTTTGACGTTATGCATACAATTGCAATCATTATTAGGAAAGCTGGGTAAACCTTTTTCTGTAAGTGCAACCTGCCTTGCTATTTTCTCTGTAGTCAGCTGAAGTGGCAGTGGAGCTTCCAGGGTGCGAAATTAACGGGAGTCCGGAGTCAAATACTCCCCGATTTACTGTCGGACTCCCTGATTTGACGTATATGCAGGAGTCCGTGTTACTCCCTGAAAATTCTGCCATACTACCTAGTTCGTTCCAGAGCCCGTCCTCGTGGAAATACTGTATTTTTTCAGCTAATATCCAAAGAAAATTTGACAGACGTGCAACGGCATGAATCTTAAAAATAAGCACATGCCTTATTGTTAAAATATCTTTAATTTTGAACCTCAGAATGAGGACTCCCTCTTTTTTAGGGTAGGGAGTACCTTGGACTCCCGTGTTCAAAAGTTAATTTCTACCCTTGAGCTTTTAATAGGGAGTAGTCTCTTTCCCCAGGAGCAGGAACATGGACATTTCATAAACACTAGATGTGTAGGTGTGTCCTATTGGGGATGGAAAATGTCTATTACGATATATATATAGCCACCCGACGTAATGGAAGCTGGCTGCGTATGTGTTAGATCTTGAAATTGTATGCATGGTTTATTTAGTAGACGATTGTGGACACCTCATTTTTGGGTAGAAAACCCCACTGACTTATTGTTAAACTATTTAAGAGTAAATTTGCATTTCACATCCCAAATTCAGTCATCATATATAATTTATAAATTAAGTATCTGCGAATTTCCATAATTCAAATTATGATAATGTGTGGTATTACTGTCCCCATGTTTTCCAGTAATACATATTCTAACCAAAATATTATATAATATATTCCAATTGTGTATTCTGTACGTATATATTCTATGTTCCAATTATATTTTCTAGATATGTGTAAATATTTGGGAATAGCATATAACTACCAAGCTGCTTTGAGTCAAATTAATATCAACTAAATTCAAATATTATATATTGTCCTCCATTGTTTCTAAGTCGATACAAACGAATTATAGTTCTAAGAATATGTATCGCGTCAAATCAAGCTGCTTGTAGAAATGTAGACAGATTAATTCAGCAGGAATCAAAATAAATTTTACGTACTATGTAGGTATTTTGAGCGAATGCCCACAGCCCACAGGTAAAACCATCTAGTGGTTGTATTGACGCAGAGATGAAATTACGAAGTTCTGACTCCATCCCGCCCTTTTTTATGAGTTACAGTTGGAACCGGAACTTTGCAGATATTGCTTTTATAGGGTCGAACCCACCTGGCCGGAACCGAGTTCTTCTTTCCCTTAAGATTTCTGCGGTCCAGCCCCTCTCGAGTTTTTGCACAGCGGAGCATTAGGAGCAGAGCAAATGCGAATCAGTTGTGGTTTTAGCTGCTGCGGGTAACGTGACACTGGCTCGGTATACGTTTGTGTGGCTACCAGTGAGGAGCGAGCATGTGGATTTATGCTGCTTCGTGCGTTTCCAAGCTTATGTTTATGTGTCCACGTGTTTGTGCATCGATAGACGGCTGTCTCTAGGATTTTATGGCAGAGGCATGTGTTGCTAGAGCTGCGGCAGAAAGGGAATTGCTCCTAGTCTTACCGAGTTTGGGCTGGTTCATATCATATGCAGATAGACTCTTACTGGTATATTGTAGGAAACTGCAAGCATACCTTTCAATGCTTACCGGGGTTTGGTGTGTCTATGTACATGCGTTTTTGTATATCTGATACTGTGGCAATATAATGGTGTCAAATTGAAATATATCAGTAATACCTAATAAATAGATTTTTTCAATTTTAAGTAAATTAAAGCACATTTTATAACAGTTTATCTGTTAATATACAGCTTTTCTGTTAATCGTTTATAATATAGTACAATCTGTTGTTCAATTCTATATTTTTTTCTTTCTAGAATCGTCGTTGTTATCGGTTTCTGCTCTGTTACAGTTTGCGCCTGTGGTTGCAGCTGAATGGGTCACCACTGAGATGAGTGTGCCATGCCGTAGTTGCCTTGCGGCCTAACACAGCTTGCCGTCGTCGCCGTCGTCACTGTTGCTCGGCTGCAGAATGGAGGAGCTGTTCAGAAGCCTGATACGATTGAACACGGCTGTTCAGCGCGACACTGAGCAACTGACAGAGGTCACCTACCTACTGACACAGACACTGGCTTCTACCGGTAACGAATTCGCCCTTGCGCGGTTTCACAAACCTCGGCTATACATCCAGCAAGAGAATTACTGTCTATCGTCAATATATGTGACTATATATATGTGACTATATATATATATATGCATTTCTATATGCCGCGTTGCTAAGCTCTAAAAATCGTATCAACGTCTGAACGTGGTAGATAGTGATGTTGATCATCTGCTGGATGTATATTTGCTGTCGTCTCCAAACTGTCTAGCGTCGAGGTCGCAATAAAATATTCGTCGTTAATTTTCAAAAAGCGCATGTTTTGGTTGTTGACAGGGTATATAATAATTTGTGAGGGCATGCGAGCAGTGCAAGTAATTAACATTTACTGTCTTAATTAATTATGAACTGTTGCTAGCATCTGGCTCGCTAGCGCCTCCACTGTATACTGCAGGCTTCCCGAGTATGCCATTAATGATTTAGTGATGACATGTGCTGTGCAGCTGTATTAATAATGCAAATGTGGGCACCTCAAGATGCCTTTCTTGTTTGTAGTGTCAACTAATAACATATTTTGTTTATTAGTGGTGGATATTTGCACTTGTTTTATATTAGTCTTCTTTCCGTAGTAAACTGGATGATGGTCTAATTGGGTAGATTAATTTAAAACACAGCTTTTTATAAAGATAATATGATTGTTGGCATAACTGAGTTGTATCGAATATGGATCTCAAGTGGACTCATTCAGTACAGTGGCCAACTTTTTGGATAGGGCAATAATATCGTATAGTTACACATTCATTTGCAAAAACCAATCTGTAGCTGCAAAAAAGCACCAAGGAATGTATTTACGTGTAGCTATGCGATATTTAATCCTCATGTGGTATGTTCCATATGGTATGCTAATAAATAAATAAATAAATTAATTGTTTCATCTGTGTAGAAATTTACAAGCAGATCATGAAGCAAGCTCAGTGTAGATGTGTATCAAATGAATGTTGCACTAAAATGCAATCTGAATATTATTATCGTACCAGTAAGGCAACATTTCTTTATTATTATTCAGTCGGCGCTGCCTTGGTGGTCATACCTGGTGATAGCTGAATGTAATATTCTTGACGGGAAATGGCAATAAGCTAATGATGATATTAACTCTTTGCTCCATAGATAAATCTACAGTAGATATTGCATCCGTCTATGCCCGTAACCTTGATGTGCTTCTGTTTACCTTAGAGGTGAGTATAGACTTGATACGAAAGTAAAACTAAAAAAGACGTAAAGTAATTAAAACACATACAGTTCAACATATGGTCAAATTATAGTCAAACCCACTTATAGTGAAACAGCAATGAATTCACCCACCAAGTCTACGTGTGTATGTCTGCAGAAATTCAGAGCCGTGCTTATATTTTACGGCAAACTGTATTATTCCAAGCTTGAAACGGTCACTTAAATGTTTCATGTCCTTGTTAAAGTCTCTGACTAAACTTATGCATACACCACTACATAAATGTATCTTTGTAACAGAACAAGACTTATGGAAGCAGGCTAAATGCATTTCGCGTGAAATCTGTAACCATAATTTTGTAAATGGGTATATGACAGCTCAGGGGAATCAGTCGCGCCACCTATAGGGAGATAGAAGCTGAATTTGTAGCCGTATATTTAGCCAAGTTTATTCTGAGAATCATAGAGAAAGAAAGTGTCTCAATGACGTGCATAGCGATCTTTCGACTGTTTCCGTCTAGATAAAATTTCTCAGATTTTGCCTAGTTTTTTATTGTTTACATTCCAGATGTTACAAATCATCACCCAAAATTAGCCTATAGTCGTTATAATACGTAACACGTGAGTCTTGATACAGCATTTTAGGTCATATTTAGCCAGCAGTTGGAGGTTCTCACCCGCTTAATCGGACAAGAAATCTCACCGCAATTGAATAATTTGAAGATTCGATAGCAAATAGTTTGGCCCTGCCTATCTGCAGCGTCTCAGCCAGGGCTGGGCGAACTGCTTTCTAGTTTTGATAGTTGCCAGGTGCTCTTCTTACACTGGGGATGGCATGCAGGCATGCTGGCACAGATTCGTTACCAGCGAAGAAAATTAACCTTATTTGTAAACAGCCCTCTAGCTATCAGTGTTACATATAGGTTAGCAAACATAGCTGTCATCTGGCAATGACATCGGTTACAGGCTTCATTCCTTTGTCTAGGCAGAAGACATTCTTAAATGAATCTACCAGCCAGTTCCATCATCATACGTAGCAGGGAGGGCATATAGCAACGTATAACTACAGGGGTCGAAGTAAGCGATGGTCTGATGGTCCGGGGCCATCAAATAATCAGGAGGACCATCCGATTTTCAAAGTCAATGGTCCGACGGACCGGACCGTTATGGGTTCAACTAAATTCGACTGAAAATGCAACTTTATTAACCAATATACTATTAAAGTGAATAAACAATGACTGTATCGTTTGATACATTCATTGTAGGTGAATAATTTCCATTTTATCACCATGTAAAATCTCTTTCTTACACCTGCAAGCCGCATTACTTTTAGAGAACAATTTGCAATTTAGGAGGACCATCTAAAATTTAGGCGGACCATCTAAATTTCAAACTAGATGGTCCTGTGGACCATCTCTTTTTTTCTCCTTATTTCTACCCCTGAACTAGTTGTAACCCTGGTCACTCTGTATGTGACATATATGGCAGTGCATGGCTGGCACTGATGTTATATTTAGACTTTAGATGTAACAGATATTAGTTTGACTGGGCTATTATAGCTATCAAGTGCATCAGAACTGCCTGTGTTATAAATCTTTCTTGATTTATGTATTTTATGTTATTTATTATATTCATAAATTATTATACAGGGGGCCACGTCGTTCAACTACCTATCACGTGATCTTGATGAAATGTGTTTACTATATGCTGATGAAGATATAAGTTATTAATATATTCGTTTATTTATTGATCGATTCTGATGTACAATGTCTCATGGGCAACTGGTAATCATACGTGTTTTTCTTGGATACGTGGTGATGCATATATACATTTATTTCATTACTCTTATTGCACCACAGTTGAATTCATTAAAGGCACAGTGTTCATTGTACGCTATGAGCATTTACAACGTTTAGCTTTTTTAGCAACATTAGCTGAAATTATTGATTAGCAAAGACAGGAGGAAATGCGTGTGCATTTTCCCAATACAAAAAGTAGAACATACAGTATAGGTACGACTTTGTGCTATGGAAGTCGCATCGTTTACAGTACCGGGTTCGTAGCCATGTCCACAAGTGAAACATGTGCGTTTCTGTTAGCCAACTGTGTAATATCGCCAAGGAGCCAATTATTGTTTGAAACTGAAGCGTTGCTACTGCACTCATGCAGCCTATCAAAATACTATGTGGTGTGGGCTAATGTGAGAATAGCTGCTTTCTCTCCAAATGTTATATTAGGCATATCTATAAACAAATTGCTTCTACACCCATTGCTTATATACACTTCTGCTTTTGCACTTGTGTCATACTGCTGCTTATAATAACTATTCCACGCAACACAAATATATTCAGCTGCTGGATAACCTCGGTGTATAAGCTTTGACGCTGAGAGGGTCTATGTCCCCCAGGGTACTGCCGGAACGTACCCTGGGTACGGTCCAGTATACCAGAACGTACCCTGGTACTATCTAATATGCCGGACCGTACCTCGCCTACTGCACTAACGAGTCTAGGGAGTCGCCTACGCCTACTCCCTAACCCTAACCCTAACCCTAACCCCAACCCTAACCCTAACCCTAACCATATCAGATAGTTACCAGGGTACGTTCCGGTATACCGGACCGTACCCAGGCCATGGCCTGGGGGACAAGGACCCTATGAGCAGCTCTGACCATGGAAACAGCGGCGGCACGGGCGGTGTGTTTGCTTGTACTGGCCCTGTAGTGAAGCCTAACTAACATGCTGGTAATCATTGACGTGGTTCGTTTCAGAGTGCGCGAGAGCTCGTCATCGTGAAGAATGTAGTAACGATCCTGCACCACATGCTGTGCGTCAAACCACGTATGTATATTCTGTACTAGGCTCTGCCCTGCTCGCCGCGATATTTCGCCATATGGGCAGTATAGTGTTAGTTACTATTAAAACCTTTGGCTCTTGCTGCCGTATGCTGATTTTGGGTCAGAAATATTGATAGACTATCTGCATCTCATTGGACGATTCGGACCCAGTGCTATAAGGGTAAATTATTTATGTGGTGTGTATGTCTGCGTGTGTGTTTACTATTGTGTGTGTGCGTGTGTGTGCATGTGTGTGCGTGTGTGTGTGTGCGTGTGGGTGCATGCGCACGTGCGTGCGTGCGTGCGTGCGTGTGTGTACGTGCACATATTACCCCTGTATTGTTTGGGCTAAACTGTACCCCAAGATTGGACAGTTGACTGTTTAAGAATAGTATTTATGAATAGTACATGGCCGAGATATTCTATATAGATGTTCGTACATACATACGTACGCACGCATGCATTCATGTACTGGACACATATACACACGTGCACACGCAAACACTCACAGACCGACACTCACACAGACATGCATGCACATGCACACGCGCACCGCACGCACACACACACATTTTCTGTCGCAGCCGGATGAAGAGACAAACTGAATAAACAGCTTGCATTTATAATACAAGACACCACATTTCTATATTTCTGTTTTACGCTTCAGCTATGTCTTAATTCATCGGTGTCTGTGTACTTTTTTACTTCTATATATCACATTATATAACTATCTCAAATACTGTTGTTTTAGGTATAGGGGGCGCTGTCAGCAAGGTGAGCTTGCGAAGTGCGTCGCGATGTTTGCTGAAAGTGTTGGTGTATCTTGTCAATGAACTAGAGCCAATCAAAATAGAGCTATTGAGCACCATGTACGTTATCATCACGAAGCTTTCTGTTGTTGGTAAGTATATTACTATTAGTATTATTACCGTAAACCTATGCACAGGTGCATTCATGCTGTTACATTAAGACAGTCTCTACTGCACATGTGTAGTTGTACATGTAAGTCTAACCAGGTGCATCTATATTGGCTTTAAACAAAAGCAATTAATGAGAATCAAAATTATGGTTACCATTCTATTGCCTTGCAAAACCAGAAGAAGAACGGTTGTTCAAGAATTTGTGTATTCTGGTGTGTTTAGAGCTATAGTCATCCAAGTGCTGTTGAAGCATTGTGTGATGAGAATGGAGGCAATCCCTGTTTTCCATGATATATAGTTTCCTTGTTCATTATACTCTACACAAATAGGCAGTTGTTGTTTATGCGATCAGATCAACATAGTAGAGTAACTTGTATTTTTTGCAAGACATGTTTTTAACATTTAACAGTAAAAATTGACGTGGACATTGACATGCCAAAAATAAATACCATGCAAAATAATGGCAGTAAAAATTAAAATTCATTTCCTTCAATACTTTTCGTTGTGCGAGTTACTAATAGAATATTACGAATTCCATTAACATGGTGGCATGATTGCTTTACATAGATAAGAAGCTGCCAGTGAAGGCAAGACTGCAAGGTGCCCTCCCAGTGACAGTAAAGGTGATGCTGCTGCCCTCTGTCAATGTAAAGCTTCTACTGCCTCTCGTCAAAGTTCTCAGGATATTTGCCGCAAGCTGTATGTATTATGTAACCACATAGCATTAACTTTACTCGTACGTCGTAACTCTGCAATGTTTTTGACAACGATTCCCTTACATGTAATGTTACTGGTCAGCAAACTGAATGCCAATTGGAATTGAAATAACGTGCACAAAATTTACTAAGATAGATTTATGCATGAAAACTACATGAGTAAGGTAAATTATTAGTGTGGTTGTGGCATTATTTTATTATCGACACTTGGATATGCAGCTCGTGATTTTATCACAAATGCTAACGAACTGCGTTATTGTGCATTTATCAGTCATATGCAGTTACCGAACCTAGATGTTTGCATAAATACTGTTGACTTTCCGCAGCGGTGAACGTAGCTGAGCTTGGCCGGAGTGGGGCAGTGGTGGCGCTCGTGCAGCTGATACAGGGCATGGGCAGGAAACACCCGACCCTGCAGCAGATCAGCCTAGAGGTGCTCATGATGCTCTTAAAGTCTAGTGAGTAGTTCACTCCTAGCATTATGTGTGTACCGTTGTGTGTGTGTGCACGGGTGTGTGTGTGTGTGCGTGCGTGCGTGCGTGCGTGCGTGCGTGCGTGCGTGTGTGTGTGCGTGCGTGCGTGCGTGCGTGCGTGCGTGCGTTCGTGTGTGGGTGCGTGCGTGCGTGCACATGTGTTCCTGGGTGCATGCGTCATGTGTGCACTTTTCAACGTTGATTCATCACATTGAATTTGCATGTGTGTTTTGTGTCTTCCTTCATTCGTCACTTTTATATGCCGGTTTTTCTCCTCAGAAAAGAATTTACGTCGCGCGGTGGCGGCCGGCATACCGAAGGCGTTGCTCGACTTTTTCCTGGACTGGCAGGGGCAGGATAGCCGCAGCAAACACATCAAAGAGCAGAACTGCTTGCTCACCATGCTGAAGCAGTTTTCTGTCAACAGTACGTCAACTTTGCGTTATGCTGAAATATCCCTAAATCTGTTGGTGTTTCTTCTATTCACTCCTAAATTGACATTCTATGTGTCAAATCTAGTATGAAGTGCCACAAAAGATTACACATTTACAGTTTAAAACAGCATGGAGTATTTTATCAGAGTGAATGCCTTTCCCTGTCTGGTGAGGCACGTAGCAGGCATTCTAGCAACGAAATCCTTAACAGGTGCAGTGCGGCTGTATATATTGGTTAGGTTTACCCTAATCGCTTTACAGTATTGGCTTACCTTCACCATTCTACAAAGCTGTGTACACAGCACTGCATCTGTTGCGCATTTTGGCTGTTACTTGTGCCTATGGATTCAGTTACCTGATGTATTTTGTGGAGTTGTCTATTAGTTGTTGGGCACTGGTCAACTTGACCCACGCACCAACTCGGCTCGCACGCTCGGTGGTGAGTTTACTCGTCTGGAGGTCGGCCAGCTCGGCTCGTGGGTCGAAATTACCTGCCTGGAGGTCAGCCAGCTCGATTTGCCAGCTAAAGGCCTATTTACACGATGCGTCTTAGACGTACGTCTAGGACGTACACCATGTATGACAATGCAAACGCAATGTCGGAAGAAATTAGAACATCCGTCCTGTGCATCCGATATCGCAAGGGTCATACATTTGCATTGTCATACACGGTGCGTTTTGGACGTAGGTCCTAGACGTACGTCTAGGACGCATCGTGTAAATAGGCCTTAACTCATGAGATGTTTCACACTCTCTGATGTCTATTTGTTTGTTATTATTACTAAATTCATTATTGCACATAACGTAATCATATTTGCGTAGTTGTTAAGCGTTGTCGTTTTTCTGCGCGTAGAGCCAGGCAGGAGGGCGCTCGTGGAGGCCGGAGTCGTGCCACGTCTGTACGCGGCCTGCCAGCGCATGTCCGCTGCCCGCGCTGAGCTGATGCCCACAGCCAGCGTCGTGCTGCGCAAGTGTCTGCCCTGCAACCGCCTGCCCCTCCACGGCACCGAAACCAGCATCTATACGTTCAGCTTGCCCGTGATCGAGCACGATCCCGACTGCTGCTGCTACGCGACAGGTTCGTGCTAAAACCGAAGCAGGTAACGCGGTAGCATTGAGGTAGCTAGTGATAGCTAGGATGATTGTGCGTGTGAGGTCGACGCGCATCGGTGTGATGCGTCGCTGGAGCTATGCCTTGTTTCAAGTTTTGCGACAGTTTAAACTCGAGCAGTTAATGCAGTACTAGTGAGTTAGCTAGTGACAATGATTGTACGTGTGAGGTCAACACGCATCAGTTTGAAGCATTGCTGGAACTATATGCCTAGTTTCAAGTTTTGCGACAGTCTAAACTCAAGCAGGTAATGCGGTACCGGTGAGTTAGCTAGTGACAATACATGTGAGGTCGACACGCGTCAGTGTAATGCGTCGCTGCAGCTATGCCTAGTTTTTACAACCATCTAAACTCAAGCAGGTAACGCAGTAGCAGTGAGTTACTTAGCTAATGACAATGATTGTGCGTGTGAGGTCGGCACGCGTCAGTGTAATGCGTTGCTGGAGGTATGCCTAAAGTTTTGCAACCGTCTAAATATTTTCGTCGCTTTGTCGCAACATGACATGTTAGCGCGTTTGTAGACAATAGTGTTAAAAGCTATTTGTTTTCCTGTGCAGGAGAAGATGTGGATGAGGAGAGCAGTAAGCAGAGCCAGGGGTTGCTGGCACAGCCCGATCTCACAGTACGCACAACACAAATTCCTTATATAATATATATATATATTATATAATATATATATATTACAGTGTTTCCCCTGCCCTCGCTAGTCCAAATCTCAAGCCCGCCCACAGCAGAAATTTATACAAAAAATACCGCCATTCGCTTAAGATGAAAATCACTTTATTGCACAGCTGTTCTAAAACTTCAGCTAGCTGAGACCCGGCAGGCAAAGCACACCAAGTTTTTGCTTCTGCGCCACCATCTCTACAAACTGCCGGTCCTCCTGACCGGCACTTTTTCCCTCATATTTAAGTGAAATACTACGGGTTATCGCACGGGCAGTTTAGACAGAATTAGTAAGTGTAAACGGGAGCGCATTCTAATACGCCTCCGCCTTCCTGAACGTAGTTTTGGGTTATCCAAAACATCTAGAGCCGAGGGCCATGAACTCCCTCACGCATGATTCGCCACAACGAACAAAACCTCGGGACAGTCATAGAAAATCGATTGCAGCGGCATGTACTAGCCCAGTGTTTTTATCGCCCGCATAACAGTAAGTTCATATGTCGCAGGGGTTATCGTGGGGCAGTGAGGCGGGCACGACCAGTGACACCTGACACGCACGTAATCAAGCTGTTAACTGAATTTCGTCCTTTTCTTAGTAGAAACTGGACTATTTTTATTCAGTTAGATATCTAGAAGCAATGTAAACTGTATATACTTCAAGATTCTAGGTACTGTAACTTTGCGGATATGCGGCAGCATTGATCTATGCATGGGGGTACTGAGGACTGGGGAGGAGAAAACGAAAGTAAAACCTTCCAGAAGCTTGTTTGTTCCTTTGACAACTTGAAAAACTGATTCAAGAGTCTCATATAATGTGTTCAAGAATAGCTTAGAATAGCCACGCAAATTTGCACCGAGGCTTTTAACATAAAATCCCGTAGCGGGGTAGCATGCCTGCCGGACCCCCCTAGCAAATGGCGATCAACCTTGCGTGCTCACATTGCTCGTTTCTCGGATTGTGCAACCACCAAAAAAAAAAACCTTTACGCCTTGCCTAGCTCTTTTTGTCAGGCTGGAAACCGCCTGTATATAATATCAGGAGTAGATAATAGGGAGCCGAGTGTGACATCAATAACAACAATGGGAAATTCGTATTTACTAGCCCTTATAATACCTAACGATTTACTACGTGCCGTTAACTCATGCCAACTTTGAGCTCAAATCGGAACCCACAGTACAATTCCCGCCAATCATCGTGCCGAACATCGTCCTCGTAGACACCCGCAAATCCGGCAGATACAGCCTAAAACGTACGACACGATTCTCCATTCTTTGGCCATCAATCCAGCCCATCGCCCGCGCCTATAATCTCAGACAAAAGGCAAGCAACGGACTGCCCCGCGCTCAGCTCGCCTCTGTATGCTCTCTCCGGATAGCTGAATGTGCGCGTTGGCGCTCGCGGCGCGAGATTGGAGATCGACGCAACACTCGACGAGCTAATCATGCGGTTGTGCGTGCGTGCGTCGATAAGGCACTGCCAGCTAATGTAACAACAGGTGGCCTTTTGTAGCTGTGTACCGGGTCAAAGTTATCTCGCCCGCAGCTGTCGATGCCTAATATCTCCAGCGAGCCACACTGCCTCGCTCGTCTAGGCAATAGCGCGTTAGGGTAGCCTGCTTTGTTTGCAATTATAGGCGCGCAATCGGGCTGGCGTTGAAATGGCAAAGAATGGAGAATCGTGTCGTCTACTACTGTTTTAGGGTGGTATTCCTGGATTGCGGTCGTGCTACGCAATGAAACGATTTCGCACGATGATTGCGCGAATGTACTGTGTCCGAATTTCGGAGCCTCAAGGTGGGATAGCTTACGCGTTAGTAAATTCGTAGCGTACTTATTATAGGCTAGTCAAATGACTGAACTTTCCCTTGTTTCATTGACTCGTCACACTCCTCCCTTATTTAATCTACATCACCTGATATATATATATATATATATATATATGTAACCATAATATAATAACCACGTATAAGTCTTCTATGAAGTCACCAGGTGATAGTTTGTGGACCTTGAATTTCCCATCAGTAACTTGTCATGATGGTGTGAAAACCTCCCCCCCCCTCCGTGCAAAGCACTGCTGATCCCTTCCTTGACAGTAAATCTTGTTTCGTCGAAATATTCGGCCCCCGAAAACGTGCCCCCGGCTTACGGTGCTGCCCTCTGTGCAGGTAGACGTCGCGCAGACATGTCGGCTGAGCTGTGACATGCTGGACAGCAGCAGCACCGAGGAGTTCTTCCCGGAGCTGCACGACTTCCCCAGCGTGACGCTAGTGACGGACATCTCCGGCCTGTGTGGACAGGTGAAGGGCGCCTCCTTGAATGGCAGCAGCGGAGCGCACTCCGAGTCTGCGTTCGTGGCGAACGCCGCCGAGGCGACGGCGGGCTGCGACGCGACTGGCGCTGCCACCGCGGGGTCGTGCGGATCTAACAACGTGCAGGACGGCAAAGAAGACCAGGGCAGCAGCGCGGAACCGGGTTCCACGGAGGGCTGGTGCAGAGAGTTGCCGGCACCCAGTGCTGACTACTGTGACGAAGCTCTAAGGAGCTATCACTCGGCCTACCTAGCATGCGCCAGCCGGACGGCGTCCGTGGGGCGATGGAACACCGTTCCGTATCCGGACCTCTGTCCCGTGTGGACGGCGCCGATTCAGTACGAACATCTGTCGCAGAACACGGACGACGTGAAGAGGTACGAGAAGTAGTATGAGAAGAACCGACTTTCACATAACAGTAATCTTCAGTAGATGTCAATCATAACAGCAGATCTGTGTTCTTTTGCAGCAGCCATATGTTAGGTTGTGATGTAAGCAGTACACGCACGCGTACAGGTAGCCACACAAGAAGGAGCATGGGTGAGAATGAGCGAATGACAGCACAGAGATCAAGGCACATTAAAGATGATTATGAGAGGGAGACAGAGGGGAGAGAAAGAGTGAGAGTGTGCGAGAGACAGAGAGTGAGAGAGACAGAGAGCCAGAGAGAGGGGGAGAGCATGAGAGAGAAGAGAGACAGGGAGAGCGAGAGAGGGAGGGAGAGAGCGAGAGAGGGAGGGAGAGAGCGAGAGAGAGAGAGAGAGAGAGAGAGAGAAGAGAAGAAGACGACAGAGAGAGAGAGAGAGAGAAGAAGAAGAAGAGAGAAGAAGAGA